ATAATCAATCAGGCCAATTAATTAAAACCAATTGTTTGGATATATATATATATATTACAATAATAGATCAAAAATGTATTACAATAAATTCCACAAAACGCTTAAAAAAAAAAAAAACATGAACACCTACTTTTAACAAACAACTAACAAGCGTAACAATATTTATATTGCATATTTCAAATTTGTCAATAACCGACAATAGGTAACCTATTGAATACAAAACAGTACTATTTATAACTAATAGTAGTACGCTTTAACCATTTTTTTTTTTCTTCCTATAAGGAAGAGTTACCTCAAGCGTCCAAGCCTTGATGTGCTCGCCAAGAGATTGTGTTTCTTATTGTGTACTAATGTTTCACAATATTATGACAATGTAGCCTCATCGGCACAATGTAGGCATTCAGGTATACGCGTGGTCGTACCTGTATATTTTGTCATCAAACAAATTAGTTGCCTAATTTATTTTAAATGTAGTTTGATTAATTATTTCATGTACAGTGTAAAGCGGAAAGAAGAATTGTCGAGCCGATAAACCATACAAAATAGTTAATAGCTCGTTAAAAAAATTAATATGATCCGATATTCTCTGTAATATACATTGAAGGTTTTTAGTTTTTTAATACAACTGTGCAATAGGGTTTTAAAATCCCGAATAATCATAAAGGTTTCAGTCTGTCCGGTTAGTTTTGCCCCGTGCCGAATGAAATTGTGTTTAGGGATTTATTTTGTGTTTTTAAATTCTGAGCAAATCGAGAAATACGTATTCAATCTACGATTACAGTTACGTCTACTAGGTATATATAGTTGTAATATAATCAATGGTTTTACTGTGATAGTTTGTGCCATATAGATAAAGGTTATATAGTTACATAGCTCGGCCAAAAAGTAGCTCGTTTAAACGAGCGCTCCTTGACGACATTTGTTTTTAACAATTTAAACAATTAATTTTTATAATTTTGTCTCCGTGTCTATGTTTGTCGCGGATAATATAATGAAATTCAGTCATTTTTCTATGAAATGTTCAACTAGCGCAACAAGTAGAAAATGTTTCAGTTATAACTAACAATCGAACTATTTTGCACAAGTATAAGCTGAGTATTTTTATATTTACTTTATACATGACTTGTGCGTTTTCTTTTTTTTTTTTTTTAAATTGCATTTGGATTGTTTAAAATAAATTCAATACGATATTTTTACTATTTTGACGATTCCTCGTTTACAAATTTGAAAATATAATGACTTTTGTATGCACTGCACCGATGCGCATGACTCATTTGTTGAATTTGTCATTTTTGTCCCCTACTCTCCGGAACCGGTATAATAAAATTGACTTTAATATAAGTACTCCGTATAAATTGTCTAGTGTTAAATTAAACGCAATGTAATACAAATATAGTACACTTATGTAGGTGTACATTTCATTAAAGAATAATTTTTAGAGAAGAACATTATAATAAAAATTGTCTATAATAAGGAGACTATTACATTTTTTTTTATGTCTAAAAATATTATTATTTAACATTTAATGAAAAAATAAAGTTGATACTGCTGATTGATGTGATACTGTTGGTAGTGGGATGTAAAAAATCAAATAATGTACATTACGTTCAACTTATTTTTACCACTAATTCAAACTTATAAATAAACTTCGTATTCGATTTTTTAGCATTTCTGTTTGGCTAATTTTATCCATAATAAACCAAATAAACACCGAATAACTCGAATGTGTGGTAAATATTTGTCCATTTTTTCCCAATAATTATGAAAATCGCCTGGGAAATCAAAAAATTTACTCCCCCAACGTAACAATTAGATCCATATGTAACAAAAGGATCAACTGTAATTTTTTTGATGAACACATACACACATACCATAGATGTGACTCATACATTTCTCGCTCCGGTTCAATATCTAAAATACATTTTTTAAACATCAATTATATTCAGGGCCGGCGCTAGCAATTATTGATGGTATTGTTGTTAATATTATTATTATTTTTTTTGCTTATCGGCATTTTTAGCATAACATTGTTTTCGGGCGCTGCTGCCGCGGCCGCAGCACTTTTTAAATGTCACTTTCTATGTAAACGAAATTTCCGACTACTCAGCAATTATTTTATAATTACCGACAAAGTATTAATTGTTCACTTAGTAAGCTTGGGCTTAGCGACTTTGCCACAAAAATTGACACGGTAAAAATAAATATTTAAACAAAATAAAAATGTTAGAGAATCTCCGTCCCCTTGAGCCCTCCCCACTTTAAACAGTGATTCAATGCCGTATCATTTTATGGTTACTATATTTTATACGTAGATTTGATTTTAAATGTTCAAATACTATCAGTTTTCGACTATATAACAAGTAAATATATCTTACGCCATCAACAAATTTACGTATATTATACATTAAACACGATAATATGTATATGTAATATACGAGTATGTAAAATATATGTCAGTGGTTCTCACATAGGGTGTACTCTCAACATTATGCTAAACAATCACGGGTGTACTACGTACACTCTCAAATAGTGTTGGTCAAAAAAAAAAAAAAGAGCTGATACTGCTGGTGACGGGTGCGATCACTATTGTAGGTGGAAAGTCGGGAAGGTGAGATACATAAAGTTACTTAATTTATACCTGTAAGGTTGTACAACTAACGATAAACCATTGCTAATGAAAAAGGATTCTGAGCTGAGTTCATTTGATAATGTCGCTTTGTTAACAATTTATACAAGTATGTCATATTACGGTAAAATGAGTACAATAATGCGCGTTTCCATGACAATAATGATTGTTTAAAATAAATAAAAACGGTTGCTAATGACAACCTTATTTATCTTTCAATCTTTTTTAACCTAAAGAACCAGGTTTTCCTTATTATCTCGAATATTAATGATAACTTAAAAAATGATCTCTCTAAAGTACCACCCAGAAAACATTTCCTTTCAGAAAAGGTGTTATACTTGATAATCCGAGTTAGCTTCCTGGTAGAAAAAATATTGACATAAAAAAAAAAAAAAAAATAAAATAAACATCTTTGTAAAATCGATACATTTTCCGCCGACCTCAGAATCTAAAACATAAATTTTAATTGATGTGTATAGAAACGAGTGGCACGGGCTGATTGTAATGTGGTTTGTAAAACAAAATGTTATCATAGTTAAACACGATAAATTAACGTTACACCTATTTCCCGGAGGTTCGTTCGGAATATTATCGATAGTTTTATTTGTTTTGTTCAAGTTACGAGATAATTTAATAGATAGATCCAATATACAGAAATGCCTGGGAAAATTCGTGGACGAAATAATTGCACTTTGTTATTTGCCAGTATAATATAAATATAACAGTTAATGGTTCCGTTGAAGCCACGTTGGCCTTCAGTCAGTCCTTGACTCCCAAACTACGCCCGCGAAAATCGTCCATTTTTTCATATTTTTTTCTAACAAAACAAGAAAGAAATTTATAAAAATGCACGGTTTTGAGATGTGGTTGGGTCCCAATATTATGTCAATAGTTGATGGTCTCTGCGTGCCATTTAGATTTGGATAAAAGGATGGGTACATTGCAGTATTGCACGCACTTCCATATTATACGTTTCACACCTGGTAATCAGTGGTTAAGGGGTTGCGTGCAGGTGATTTTAATAAACGTTTGAAAAAATTAAAATAAATCGCAACTGTTTTCGCCGCAGAAAGTCGTCGGACCTCGGTCTTATATCGGCGCAATAATATCAGCGTGGATTCCAAATTCAAACTCCATTCCCGGAGCGGCCGGACGGAGTGTATGTTCCCTGCGTAATGTAATACAGATATTTGCATTGTTCTAATATTTTCTAGTGTACTGTTTTTTTTACCTTGGGACGTTAAATGACGAGGGGAGGTCGGGCGGCAGGCCCGGATTACCGTAGCGGCGCGTAATAGATTACATTTACCTAGGCGGATTATTATTATTTTTATTATAATTTCACGTGTTTACTCCTGACGTTTTACGTATAAGCAACCACAACGTTTTTTTTTTTTTTTTTATTGTGGTATTCAAAATGCGGTTATCCAAAAGGGGCGGCTATAGGCAACCGCGCCGTTCACGGGTCGTCGTGTCGGCGATTTATATTGTGGTGTTGTTGAGTGTTCCGCATTACGGTAACCCTATCAAATATACTTAGACTCAAAACTTGGTAATAATACTTCTATTAGACTTACTTAAATGTGGTAAAATTTTCAAAATATCGGACTTTTTTTTTTAAAAGCGTTTTCAAATCAAATTTAAACGAAAATTGCAAAATGTATGTATTACCAAACTGCGCTCGGAATCGTCTTTTGTCAAGCAATGGTTTATCGTTGCTTCCAGAAATAAATAAAATAACCTTATGTATTCAACCTTTCCAACTTCTCACCAACAATAGTGGCTGCTCCCATCGCCAGTATTAGCTTTTTTTTTTTTTAGTTTATACTTATATATTAATTTGTAAGTTTTATTTTATTATTGTACAGTTAAATGATTATTAAAGTCCTATTAAATTTTATTATTAGTTATACATTTTTAATAACATCAATTTTATCCTCGGTTTTATTAAATACTTAAAATGATAATATTAAATCCACATATTTAGTTCGTATTGATAGACACAATACCTAGGCCATACTTAAATGACAACAAAATACAGTAATGTTATCATTTAGATACTTAATTTAGGGGCTTGGGCGGCACTGATGTTTTATTACCAATGACAATAGATAAGATTCACACAGATTTCATGAACAATTAAAATAAAAAAAATATTTAAAATTAATAATATTATTGCCGATTAAAGATGAGTAAAAAAAAAAACATTTCATAAAAGTATTAAGGTTTCATTTTTTTTTATTATTAAAGGCCAACAACATTGTTAGTTAATAACATTTTAAAAACTATGTATTTAGTCTTATTCAATAGGTTTAAATACATAATTTATTATTAAATTCAATAAAAAATTAATAAAATTAACTAATTATTTTAAGTGTTATTCATAAGTTTAATGATTAAAAAACATAATAAAAAAAAAATGTATTAACTCAATTTTATTGGGTTAGAATACAATATAACAATAGTGAATAATATTATAATGCTACAAACAATTCAATTGTAGTATTAATATAATATTACACGGAAAAATTATTTAAATTCAATATATTAGTTATAAAAATATATTTGATATCTTAAGACTTCATTTCAGAAATACAGGAGGTAAAAAATGAAATAATTATTATAATAATAATAAACAAAACAATATTACTTCATAGTAAGTTTTAAGGTTTTTTCCTTATAGAAATAATAAAAGTAACAACATGAAGAACTAGCAATACAGTTCACCAACTTTATTAAAAAATAGTGTTTTTCTTTTAATTGAAACAACCATGATAGTGACAAAAATATGTTTATATATATAACAATATAATTTATTTCAATGATCGTTTTTCATTGTTAGATGGCCTAAGTGGAATTGTAGTGTTTACAGCATCTGGAAATCTTTGATGATAACGCTCCAAACGTAAAAATTTAACAGTTACCAATTTTCCTAAAACAATTTAAATTTACCAATGACTCCGATAATGTAAATATAATCGCTTTATAGTATCCTAAGTTTCTCATATTTCATACATTTTTGTGTTAGATAAAAATTATTATTATTTTTTTTTTTTTTTAATTACAAATATAATAATAATTCTTTAAGTACAGTACAATTTGAATAATATGATGTATGATATATAATATATACTTTGAAAACAAATATCAATTTTCTAATTTTTGTTTTTTAAAAGAGTAATGACCGTTTCTTCTAAATACTTAAATATTATACTTTTCAAAGTGTTAATTGACTTAAACATACATAATTTCAAAATCGTGACATGGCCATTGTTTAGTAAATGTTTCGAAGATTACAAATTGTTTTTCAAAACTAAAATCGAAGTATTCTTATGTATATACCTACTGATTAAAGCAGAAATGTGCATTGATATGAAATATTTCACATTTTGTTTGTCCCTATGAAAATGCAACTGTAGAGGTGCCTTGAATATTACCTCAGAATAAATAAATAACATAACAGGCCATATACTATGAAGATTAAACATATTTTAACATCATGCCAATATATTTTTTTATTAATTAATTTGACTATCATACTAAAATACATCATACACAATGAAACATAAAATTCAATCTTGTAGTTACTTATAAATTATTAATAGAATTTTAATTGTTTTTAATAAATAATAAATAATAAGAAAAGTAATAAATGTATGTTATTTAGTTTTATACCTACGAGGTGTTTCAAAATAAATAATATAATAAAAATCACATACCATCAAACCAAAATCCATGCAACTGTCTATATGCTTTTCCTGCTTCTGTTGGAGAGGCACATTTAACATAAACACACCCTTCTTGACTGTTGCGATCAACAGAAAGATGCAAAACTTCAATAGCTTCACATTTTTCTAGAATGGCATTTTTGATATGTGTTTCACAATCAAGTCCTATCATACTAGGAAAAATATAAAATATTTATTATTAAGTTTTTAGATGATTATTTATTAAATCTTGATGTTTTCAATTTTACACTAAAGTAGATATATTTGAAAACAAGAAGCTACAAAATAATATCATTTAACTTACGAGTCTGGTCCAAACATATGTCGAATTTTAAGACAAGACGTAGGGCTTGGTTGTGGAGAGTTCATACTACCTTCATTAGTTTCAAATGCTTGACCTTGCCAAACCTTTTTTCTAGACAAATAAAATAAATACATAAGTAAACAACACAATTTCTAGAAACATGAGTTTTACTTAAAGTTTTAAATTAGATACCTAATCAAAATATATTTTAAGTATTTAATGAGATAAAATTTGTTCTGTTACCTAAAAAAAATATACACAAAAAATAGAAACCTTGATTATGATTTTTGGTTTTTGAAAAAACTAAGTCATCATTAGGTCTAAACTCTAAACTATGCTTTTTTATGCAAAATAAACTTTTCCTCTGAATTCTATGATTCATGAATCGTAAAGATACTTTACTCCCATTTAACTGCATACACTAGAAACAAATATGTATAATCATAAAAATCCGACCTTTACTTATAAGACTCCAAATTAAATAGAATGATGAGAAAAAAAGTTAAAAACTCAAATTTTATTTAAAAAAAAAACGGTAGAAAATGTACATTTATATTGAAATTTTGAAAAGTTTTTTATGTTGTGGGTTCAATTCATATCTTATTACACTTTATGTTTATCACAATTATTATTATTGTAGTGTAAGGTAGAAATGTACTCTTGATTAACTGTCACAGTTACTGCATTTCACAGTTTTGTAATGTATGTTGTTAAAGTTGTAGTACAATTAGTTGTTATTTTAATTTCAACACCATCATTTTATAAAATAACAAATTTTCTAATAAATAATATATATGTAATATGTAAAACTAAAATAAAAAAAATTAAATTAACAAAATAATGTTTCTTTCTCCACTTTGCTTATAAAGTTTATCTATTTATAATACTCACTTTGAGACTAGCACAAAGTGACTAGCATAAAGCGGCATCCACTACATCTATAATGATAATAATAATAATTGTAACACAGTAAATCAATGGTTAGTCATGTCAATCAGTGGACATGAATACTAAAAGCATTGAATTAAAAATTATTAACCTAAATGTTAGACGGCTGTTTCACAGTCTAACTATAATTTCCCATTTTCAGCTTATTTGGTTCAGAAGGAGCCCCTCAGAAAATCTAAAAGTAGGGAGGTAAAGATAAATATAATAAATAACCAGGTACTATACTTGTGTAAGTCTCCATTTGAAAATAATTTTTAAATTAAATTATAGTTCATGAATAATTGATAATTGAGTTATGTTAAATATTATTTAACAATTTAATTGAAAATTACTTACGCTGTGTTAGGTGACATAGGTTGAACCCATCTCCAAACTTGGTAGTCTTCGCCATCAATTTGCTGAACTTCAGACCTCACTCTTGATTCAGAATCAATAAAGTACTGTTCGACTTCAGCCCAAATTTTTGACTTTTCTAAAATAATTCCATTACAAAATATAATAAATTGTGTTTTTGGTTAAATATAAAAATAAATAATATATATTTACTTGGTCTCTCATTAGGTGGAATTAGTTGATCACGTATGTGTATAATAGGTAAATAACCTTCATTAGGTCGATATTGTGCTTGTTGTTTCAATAAATCAATTGTATTTTCAACTAATTGATTAACTTCCTGTTTATATTTTTCACTTTTTGTTGTTACGTAGCATATTCCAAAATAAAGACTTACAATAGATGTTGCCACTACAAAATAATATATACATACAAGCACAAATAATTAAGTTTTAAAATAAAATCAATAATTTTTTTTCTGAAGATTTATGTATATTAAACATACATATACACAATTTATAATATTATATTTTCAAAAAGTACCTTTAAACATTTGTGGTAACTTACCGATTCCTAGCCATACAACTAAGTAAAACATATTGGCAAAGATATGTTTAATTGCACATAAAATGGGTAAATTTGGTTGCACATTAATATAAAATGATTTATCAAATCCAATAGGAGAATCGGAATAGGTTTTTGCAATGCTTTTAAATAGTTCAACCAGTTCTTCAATTTCCCTAGATGGTGTATTTTCATTTATCATAAAATATTCGAATACAGTTTGTTTATCAATAGTTGGCTCAATATCTGAATTGTCGCATTGTTGTTTTATATATTTATCTTGAACTTGTGATACCAACGAGTTATACAAACGTTGTACTTTTTCTTGTTCTTTACTACAATCAGTTCCCTGGAGATTTTTTTTGGCACATAAAGAGTTCAACATACCTAAAAATTAAATTAATCAAAATTAAAAAGAAACAAATAATATAAAATTGTTTGAATATAACCTTTAACATTAATTCTGTATTGGAAAAGTTATTTATAAATAATGAATTAAGAAAAATAGTTATAAAATAATTTAAATCTATAGACGTATTTTTTAGATAATATTATTATAAGACCAACATAAATAGGATAATTCTTGATTTGAACCTTTGCTTTTTTTACAGTTTATTGTATTAAACTAAGTTTACTTTAAGTAAAAATAATAATTATTTTATGTATTTATTTTAGTACAAAGTTTAAAACATTTGTCATATAATTATTAATAATTCCTATTTAATATATTTGTTTTTAGCCAATTAAATAAAATTGAAGTAAAAATACATTTTAATAATGAAATGAAATATAGTGTTGTTTGAAAGTTGTTCATAAATTATAAATATTAATTTAAATAAAAAAAAATAAATGCTATAAAGTATGTATACAGGAAAATTATTGTAAATACAATATTACTTATTAAATGTAATCCCGATAAAAGATTATAATATAGGTCTACTAAATTCTATCTTAAAAGTTGTATTACAGAAGTTATATTGTTGACTTAATTTTGGTCAGTGAAACATTTAAATTTCAAATAATAATTACAGTAACTATAATAAAATAATTACAATTGAAAAATATATATTTACCTGAAGGAAATACAACTGTACTCGATTGTATTGAAGTGAAATATAATCCAAAAATAACAAAAAAAAATCCAACAAAAAGTAATATGATATATTGAGTGTTTCTTGTATAGCCATTCACCGGATGTTTTTGTTGTGTAGGTTGAATATACCTTCTAAATAAAAAAAAAAAAAAAATTACAATACCTTATGTGTCATTTATTTTATGTTTGTAGATTTTACAAACCTTGAATTTTGGGAATAAACTGATGTAACAGCAGTTGGAAAATGTACATTTGGTGATGAATCAGTTTTATCTGTAACATTAATAATTAATACATTTATACATCACCGTATTATTTTAAAATTGTATTAAGTCCCTTAAAAATATATTTTTAGTATACAATTATTTATAGATAGTTAAATGATTTGAATTGTATAAATCATTTGATTAATGATTAATAACAATATTAAACTGTACTATATGTGATTAGATATTACTTTTTTAATATGTTCAAAAATTTGTATGGTTATCTGTCTAATCTATTAATTCTAGTAAAAACAATAACCATAATATTTTATAATTTAGTATAAGTATTCAAGAGGAACAATACTAGTCTAATATTGATGATTACAATTGACAGTAGATTGTAAAGTAGACAGTAAACTTTATAATTTTTAAGTAGAACTAAGGAGGGCTAGCTGATCAATCCAGTTCATATTTTTCTATTGGAATTAATAGAATGTGTTAATATAAAATTATTTATGGTTATTACACGATATGTTTTGTATGAAACAAATTATTATAGAGTCCAGTGTATTTTCACAAAATAAGTAAATTTTTTTTTTTTTTAACATAATACAAGAGTAAATTTTATAAATTAATTAGTTTTTAGACTATAAAAAAGGTGGATCAATAAATTCATCTTTAAATTTTCTTTTTAAAAAATTTAAAATTTATAAGAATAAGCTTACTCTGTGACTGATTCATCATTTTTTCTTTCCACCTTTGTATAGCCTTATCAGCATATGGAGTTTCTGTAATAGGATTTGATCGAGGACTTCGAATTACGGGTTCCCTTGATGATATACTTACATTAGAGTTATAAAAGCTAGGTATTTTTTTTTCAGTCTGTGTTTCAGGTAATTTGTTTGAAAAGTGTTTATTATCTGTGAATTTAATAAATAAAATTATAATGAATAGCAAACAGTTTATAAGTCTATTAAAATACTTAAAAATCATAAAGAACAAACCTGGTAACAAATATGAATTTTGATCTTCATCTTCAGTAGCAGAATTATTCCAACTTGAAACATTCATCAAATGGAAGTTAGTTTTGGGCAAGTCAATTTGGCTAGATTGTTTGTTTTCTAGGTCTTCAAGTTTTTTTAATAATAATCTTCTCGTAGTATTGGTGACTGGCGGTACTACAGTATTAAATGTTGACAAACGCTGTCGTAGTTCTTGATCCGATATACTTTCATCCATATTGTCTAATATAATTCAAATCAGTGAGTGAATTTAAAATCAATTATGAAGTAAAAAAAAAAAATAAATAGAACATTTAACAAACAAACGAAAAATTGTTATGTAATTTAATAGACAATGATAAAATCATGAACTGTTTTACAGTAATACTTACATTTAGGCAGTGTTTTTACTTTTTTCGTATTTAGTTACTGAAAATGTAGTTGGTATTTATTGATTAAAAGCGATTAAAATTTTGTGATATATTTAGAGCAACCATAACATAGGAGATATTTTTAAATCTAAAATTTCAATTTGTAAAAATAAAATAATATAAATTTGTTATTCTATTACCCTACAAGATAATTTATTGGTGAGAATTCCGTTATTTTAATCAGCAACTATGGTTTTACCGATACCGAATACACACGACCAGTCAACTACCATGGACATTGAACAACCGCGGTATCGGATAGCAGTCGCTGATGTTAAGTGTCGCCAACATTATTTTGACTTTGATAATAAAAAATATAAAACACTGATAAAATATGCCCTTGTCCAAATGTTCAATACCATAGAGTACCCATAACTCTACATGAGAGTACCACTTGTTACTATAATATATTGTTATCAAATATCGACTATAGGTACCTAGACGTGCCTACGGGCTACGGGTAGTTGGACATAACGATCAATAAAAAATAGACCAACGTAAAAAAAGAAATTAAAATACTAAAAAAAAAAAAAAAAATTAAATTGCAAGCATTTGTTTTAATCATATTTACTTTTATATTTATTATATAGGTACATGTAATATTGTACTTCACTTGCAAACGGATTACTATAAAAATATTAATAATAATAATTATCCATTATAAATCACAGTATTTTAAAAGGTCGTGATAGGATAATAATATAGGTATGTGGCAAGAATTAGGATCTTAATTCGTGTTAAATGAATATGAGCAAAAAAAAAAAAAATACCTATATGGAAAAATACAAAGAAAAGTAATATAAAGAATACAATAACAATAAAATGGACGTTGAAAATGTCTGAAGGCCGTATCAAATAATAATAATTTAATTTGAAATTATTAAGTTAAAAACTTTTGAAAACATCAAAACTACAAAGGCCTAATTACCTATTTTTTTTTTATCATAATCATAGAATAAATTATATTAAAACTACCATGACTAACTAACCAGTAACTATAGGCATGAAAATATAAATTAAAAAAGTATATGTCTGTGGGATTATATAAATTCACGAGTCACATCAATTTCACTTTAATGTATTTGTCTAAAGATAAATTGATAATGTACAATGTCATTGATGGTTAATAATTTAAAGATTTTACATTTTCGTTCTTTTACAACGATGTTTATTTTATTTTCTACCGAACCCCATGGGGCCAGGTAACTTAAAAACATTTAAATTATTTGAAAAATATTAGACCGTCAAATTGATGTAAAATGTATAATTAAAAAAACATTATTTAAGAAAATACATAATGCATATTGTTCAATTGTTTTTCGTTAGCAATGTTTAACTATTGCATATAGACCATAGACATAACTTTATTAAACTCCCCTCTATATCTAACCATCCCATCTTCTTACACACAACAGTGACCCGCTCATTGTATATGTTTTGTTTTATTTATTCTGTCTGTGAACAACTTTACTTCTAACCAGAAAACTTGCTCCGAAGTACAGACTATAGCAACTATTCTGAAAGGCAATTTTTATTTTTATGCGGTTTTTGAAATAATTAGGAAAAACCAAAAAAGACTAAATACTTATACAATTTTTTTCAAACTACCGCTCAATTTCATTATTTTACGGCTTGTTTTCTATCATAAATATTGCTCCAATTGATAAATGACAAGTGACTTTTTTTATTGCAATAATTTGTTGATTTTTTCTAGTTTCATTACAAGTGTTATTCAGTAGTAAAAAAAAAAACAAAAAAAAGTATTTAGTTTATTGCAGTCATTTTTTTATCAGTGAAAATCTAATTTTGATGAAAATCATAACTATTACGGCCTTTCAAAAACATGTAAAATCGAACTTTGTTCTGAATCATATAAATTAAATACTGTTACTATCTACAGTTAACCTATACCTTCCCAATTTCTCATCAACAACAGCGGTCCACTCTTTACGCAGAGTATTTCCATCTTTTTATGTTGCATTAATTACAAAAAGAATATTAATTCTTTGATGTTTAACAAATAAATTTTTGTCATTTTTAGGTATCAGAAAAAAAAGACATAATTTATGATGTTTTATTTTCGTTATGTACAAAAATAGTTATTAAAAATAAATTTTAAGTAATTAATTGATCATTTATAACAAAATAAAAAAATTATCACTAAATAATATTTTACAACAATCTTGTTTATGAAAAAAATTAAAAGCATTGATTGTCTTAACTAAATAGTAACTTAGTAATATTAATGAAAAAAAAATTTTTGTTAAATATGTTATTACATTGTTCAAATTAAAATCCAGGAGACATGGGTTGAATCCACCTCCAAACTTCATAGTCTTCACCATCAATTTCTTGTACTTCAGATCTTACAGATGATTCAGATTCGGTAAAGTACTGTACAACTTCAGCCCAAATTTTAGATTTAGCTGAAATAAAACAACCAGTGTAAAAATAGTATATTAATTACAGTTTAAACAAATGCTTAATGCAAAACTGAATACCTTGTCTCTCATTGAATGGAATTAAACGATCACGTATATGTATAATTGGTAAATAGTTTTCATCAGGCCGATTTTGTGCCTGTTCTTTAAGTAAATCAATTGTATTTTCAATCAATTGATTTACATCCAGATGATGTTTTTCACTTTTCGATGAAATGTAGCATATTAAAAAATATAAACCAATGACAGATAATCCAACTGAAAACAAAAACAAGATATATATTTTTGTTTAAGAGTTTCAAAATATTTATTTAAGTTTTAAAATAATGTTTACACAATATAGACTTAATTTATGTTCCCAAAAAGCTCAACATGAATCATATTTTATTAAATTTGATAATCTTATAAAAGATTGATCTCATAATAATTCAAGTACGTTAATATAATGACTAAAAAAAAAAATTAGACATGTATTTCTAATAATGTTATAATTTGAAAAACCATTTTTTTTTTAAATACATTTTTACATGTAAGAGTGTATTATTCCATTCTTTTTTAGCCGGGTAGTGTGGTAAACTTGACATTTCTTATCATATAATTACATACAATTATATTTTAATGGGATATTAATATTTAATAAAATATGTAAAGACTATCATACCAATTCCAAACCATATAGCAAGATAGAACATGTTAGAGAAAATGTTTTTAACTGCACATAGGATCGGCAAATTTGGTTGTACGTTGATATTAAATGATGTACTGAATCCAATAGGAGAATCAGAATAGGTTTTTGCAATGCTTTTAAATAGTTCAACCAGTTCTTCAATTTCTCTGGGTGGTATATTTTCATGAGTTGAAATATAATCATATACAGATTGCCCATCAACAGTTGGTTCAACATCTAATTTGTCGCATTGGTTTTTTACATATTTATCCTGAACTTGAGAAACTAATGAATTGTACAAACGTTGTACTTTTTCTTGTTCTTTTTCACAATTAGATCCTTGAAGGTTCTTTTTGGCACATAATGAGTTCAAAATACCTGAAATGCAGTGAAATTATTTTTGAACAAATTAACATCTGAATAAATACTATGTAATATATAATAAATTAATGATACCTATATTTTATGTTAAAAATATTTATCTAAGTATAAATATTATAATACAATATTTAGTAAATTTAACTTTTTAATAAAATAATTATATATATACAATATACATAGATAATTTTATGTAATTTTGAAGTAATTCATATTTAATTGATTAAGTATGTGACACCTGAGGCTCTCGAGTGGCTAAGTTCTAGTGGGTGTTTCTAGTAGGCATATATTGTTTTTGTAAGGTGGAGAGGAATTTACTTTAGTTGACAATATTACACTCCCTATATATCCCTAGAATATCAGAATAGTAACATTGTATTTCTACCTGTCATAAGAGCCAACAAATAGGGATGGGGCCGATACTAATATTAATTTCTGCTGATATTAGAACTATTGGTATATCAGGTATCAGTTTTTCCTCCGCATTTATAGTTAAACCAATATAATGTATAATGCAAGTCACATAAAAATTTGTATATTATGATGGTGGTTCTATCAATAATACCAATTAAATTATATATTTATAAAACTTATATCTGTTAACCCTTTGGTTCAAAGTATATTAGCTCTATCTTCAACTCTTCTTCCTGAATTTATGTTGTTAGTAGACATGTATGCAAGGCCCACCAAAATAAGTTTAATCAACCTAATTCACATACATATTTAAATATAGGAATAAATTCTTGTAGTAAAATATTTTTTTTTTTTAAAATAATAAACGTGGTTAGAAAAAACCAAATTTGTTTGGTCTTGCTAATTATTATATAACAATATTTTACTTTGCTACACATTAAGTATTTTTTTTTTTATATGTACCATTTTGATAATTGTTAAAATTTAATTAAGAAAACAATATATTTAATATAGCTATTATATTACATATTATTTAGTATCTACTAATTTTTAACACATTTTAGTTCTTATATAAATATTAAAAATATAAATAATATATGCCATAAAGATTAGACTACCAGAGTGACACGTATAGAATACAATTAATGATTATACCTAAAACAGGAAATTATGTTATTAAAAGACATATATGATCCACTAGTAATGGCGGATATAGTGGTTTCAAAAATATTTATATGCATAGCATAGTATACCTAGTAATCTAATTTATTATCATTCATCAATGATATCAATATATTATTCTTGCTCACATCTATGATGTTTTCATCAATCATGAGACATATGATTTATCAGTTTATGGATCCAAGGAAATAAAATACCGGATATCGGCCCAGCTATATAATATAATAATACTAAATTCAAATATTTATTATTGATAAATAATTAAGAACTAGGATAAAATCCCATTATTTAAAAATATATTAAACTGTAACATGGTATTTTATTTTTGAAAATTATTCTACTAAACCATTTAAGGGGCCTGGTGCCAGTTTTTTAAATTAAAAAAAAAATATTTTTAATATTTTAATTATCACTTTAAAGATAAGATTTTCCAACTGATTTACTACCCGATACCCATTTAGGAGGAAGAGGTAGAATTGTTTTTACTAACATAAATGACTGCGGGAATTGAGATAACTTATTGTTGACATAATATTTTTTGTAAAAAAGTTAGTTAGTAGAAGTTAAAAATTGACTTTTTTTGATATATAATAAATATTATATTTGTAATAAAAACATTGAAACACAAAGTTCAATCTGATCTGTAAGACATTTATATTTTGCAATTTATTATACAACGGAAAAATAATCAAAATCAAATTATTCTACAAAGAATAGGAGTTTTTCCCGTAAAACATATTTTTGAACCAAAAAATACACTGGTACCAGACCACTTAAGAAATATAAATATAAATATCATTACCTGATGGCAATACAACTGTACTTGGTTGTAATGAAATAAAGTATAATCCTAAAATTACTGTAAAAAATCCAATAATAAGTAGTATTAAGTTCTGAATGTTCATTGTATAATAATTTCTTGGAAATTGGCTTAGAGTGGATTTTCGGACATTTTTCCTAAAAAAATAAATTATTATAATATTTTATCATTATCTTATTATTTAACATTATTATTTAGCAAACCTTAAATTGTGTGTAGATGGTTTTAAAATAGGTGATGGTGAATTGAATAGTGCTGTATTAGTTGGTACAAGATTTGGTTCTATAAATTATAATAAATACAATTGTGAGTAAAGAATAAGAAATATTACATAAATTTAACAAATATTTAGCTAGTTATCTCACGCAATAGTAATATATATTTTTACTAAACTTTAAAATATGTGACGCCCATCAAAATAATTATTTCATTAATATATTATAACTTAAAGCCAAGTTAACACATATAAGATAAAAATTGAATGTTTAATACTCATAAAAAAATAGCTGATATCGTTGATGGATGTGCTACTGTTTTAAGAAGGAAGTTAAAATGAAGGCTATGCACAGTAATTTCATTTATATCTTTACGGAGCAATAAACCATTGCTAATTAAAACTGATTTTAAGCAGAGTATTGTCATTTATTTATTAATTTTTTCCCTAATTCCAATAAACGGGGACGTAATAAGCAAGGAATCAAAAATACAACAAGAAAGTTCCTATAAAGTTTGTAACTAGAGCAAGATTTCTCATAAGATAGTTGTATAGATAAAAAAAAAAATGTATATCATTGATTATAATATGTTTGTAAAAGTACATGGTTTTATGTTTTATACAGTACAAACATTTTTTTTTCTATTATGGCTGTATTGAACAGTAGTAAATGTATTCTTATGTTTTAGTTGTTATATCGTTTTATAAATGGCATATTAAACGTGTAACGTATCAAACGGTTTGTTCACGTACATTACAAACCTTGAAAATAATACAACAAATGAAACCATAATTGTTCAGACAGGGAAAAACAACAGTTTTTGTCGAATTTCATCTTATTTTGATTTTAATAGCCAACAATTTAACACATAGTTAAAATCTTACTAGAAATTTTAAAAAAGTATTTTCATAATACCTAATTATGATATAGATTTGAAAAATATAAAAATTACTTAGTGGAGAGTGAGACTGATCCATTATTTTTTCTTTCCATCTTTGTATTGCTTGATCAGCATGCGATTTATTTTCCTTAAAAGGGCTCATACGATCTTTTTGAAAATTCTGCATAGTTGTAAATTGAATTGGTGTTTTTGAGGGTGTTTTATTTACTTTAGATTCCACAAAACTAGTAATTATATTGTCAGTTTGTACTTCAAATTGTTCTGTTTCTATAGTTATTTAATCAAATTAAAATATTATTATAAAAAAACTTGAAAATAGGACAGAATAGAAACTTTTAAGTAAATCAAAATTTAATATATACTTGGTAAATAATGCGAACTCTCATCTATATTTTTGTTTGTTTCATTTTTCCAGTTAGATACATTCATCAAAGATGTTTCATTTGATTTAGGTGAAGAACTAATTATTTTTGGATTAGGTGGCGCAATAGAATGTCCTAGAGTGTGTGTATCAACTTCAGAATCAGAGGTATCAAATGTATCAGGAGCTCGGTATTGTCGGCGAAGTCTAGTGCTTTTTCTAGGACTATCCACGTCAAAAATATTATGTTGAGGGGTTTTAGTACCAGACGACGATATAATAATCGACTCATTAGTACCATTGGTCGTAGATTTTAACTTTGGAGGAGGCATAACATCTGAAGCAGATTTTTGGTTCAATTGGCTGCTTTCAAGATTTGCTAGTTTTTTCAACAATAAATTACGAGTCGATTTGGTAACAGGAGGTACCACTGTATTAAATGCAGACAAACGACGACGTAGTTCTTGGTCTGATATGTCGTCCATTGTGTTGGTTCTAAAATAAAATAAACAACTTGAATTTAGATTGAGTAGATTTTTAAAAAAAAATCCCATTTTATTCGGGAAAATAAAATAATGCAATTCTATGTTTAAACAGTGAATAATAATGTTGTAGGTACTTACATTTAGCTGACCTTCACAGTTATTAATGTAAAAGTAAATACCTACTGGGGTATTTTGTTAGTAAATGTCAGTATATTCCAATCACAATATTATAGCTATGCATTAACATTCGCATAAAAAACGAACTAAGATAAATTTTAAATATCAACAAATCTCATCACAAAAGATTTCTTAGATGTTTAACCTACACTCTACATAACATAACAAATAAATAATATCGGTATTCGGTGATAATAATGCCGTTATGACTTATGAAAAATATACCCAGACAATTCAACAGTGTGACCAATCTCAATAAAAAAAATAAAATACGTTATACAGTCATACAGGTGTCTCACGAAGATTATACCCATTGCAGTATCTTGTCACGGTTTATATATCGTGTATTAATATCAGGGCTTCAAACCGGAATGCTTTTTTGTGGTTAATGGTTTTAGTTCCAATTCAGTTTTTTTCGGTTTCAAATGCTGGTTAATATTGATCTTGCATTTTATAGTTTTTAATTTTTTTTTTTTTTTAAATAATACTAGATTATAGGGTCTGGGTGTAACTAGACTATTTGACATTGTAGTTACATGAAAAAATGTCAGATAGTCCTGTTACAACCTGTATAATAATAAGCAATAGCATACAACTATGTAAGTACTAAGTATAGTGCATTAGTACATAATATTTATCTAGTACCAAAAAAAATAAAAACAAAACCAAATATTAATTTAGTTTATTTTATTGTAAATTTAAAGTAGTGGGGGGTGATCCAGAGGGTGGACTTAAGCACAGTAAAGTGATACAATAGTATAGGAATACGTATGTTTGAAATTGGGAGACGTGCGGAGGATGAAGCAAACACTTTCAATGTATTTAATGGGGGAGAGAGGATAAGATAAAATCAAGGTCACGTATGGAATTTTCGGCTTGATTAACAAGAACATTGTTAATAAGGTATGAATAGATTAACGGTTTACGGGACCGAGTGAAAATGAAAACTCGACTATTATTGGTCTCTAGCCAATTTTAATTGATATCACATTTTTGAATTGGATAAGATAAGTGACGAATTTTGCTCGGTAATAAACAATAACTAATTAAGGCTGCCAATCGTCCTGATTTAAATATTATCATTTAAAAAAAAAAAAAAAATGTTTATTTATAATGGAGTATTTTAGTTGACATCGTATCCGTTTTTAATTTCATACCGATGAACCATAAACATAAAATAATAACAATAATCTAAGTGTACTAAATTAAAATCGTAATAAAAATGTAAAACCTTTAATATAGCAAATAAAAGAAAAACAGTGGAAGTTTTATTTTTTCATACGTGGAAAACATTTTTTGAATTTTTAATAGTTTCAATATTATTTAATAATTATTATTATATATAAATATATAATAATATTTAATTTAAATTATTTGTATGGTTGTAAGTGTTGATATTAAACATTATCATAACGTTTTATGCTTCAAAAATATTTTGTATTTAATTTTTAAATTATCTTTACTATTTTGATTATTACTTTTTTTTAAATTATAATTATATTTCATTTTTTATATTTGAAAAATATGATATCAGTGGAAATTTTCAAATATTAAATGTTTTATGTATATTTGTATTAAAAAAAATGTTTTTATTATTGTTATATTATATTTGTTATGTGACTATCTTATTAGTGAAACTTAATTTAATGAATTACATATCCACACAATATAAGCCCGGGGACTAATAATTGGTTATATTATTGTTCATGTAAAAAATTATAATGGAGCCGATTATTCGTATGCGCCGTAGTGGTTCCCAATCTTTCTTTTATGGCGATCCACATTTTTACTCTTTTTTGGGTATGCAACCAACGTTAAAAAAAATATATATTAAATCAAGTATGTCATAATGGCTTAATACATAATAATTAATAGTATTAATAATAAAAGTAATTTGAATAGATTTGAATTATAAGCAATTTCATCATTTAATTCTAATATAATGAAATATTTAATATCCAATTGTTAATTATGTTAATAATATAAATATTATTTTAGGTACATTTAAAAATAAAAATAAAATACAAAAAATTAATATGATCTGATGATAAAATAATTTCAATGAGATTTAATGTGATGACTGATTCTGAATGTTGTTGCATGATATTTCCCACTCGAGTAAAATTTCAGATAAGCTGATGCGTATGCCATGTGTGACATCTAATCTGTTTGTTTTGTTTTATTATTGGTCATAGTCGAAAATCATTTTTCACATAAATAAGTATAAGAAAAATTAACAGGTTTTTTTATCGCATCTAATGACAATTCTGGATATTCCTTATATACTCTGCACATGAAAAATCAATAATAGTTTCATTTTTAAATTTATTTTCATAAGTTTTATCAGGAGAAAGTTCGATAATCTGAGTTTCAAGTAGCGTATTGAAGTTTAACTCTTCAATTAAAACAATGAAAGGATTTCCAATCCATTGAAAATCATCACGAATGTCTTTTGGGAAATTATTATTTAATACAATTAATAATTGGTTTAAATGCAATAAAATTATTTGTTTAATATCAGTGACATTCATTGAGTCGTCTTCGTGCAGAAACATCCCACCCGTTGGCACGGAAATGAAAAAAAACTAAATATAAGAAGTAATTTAATATGGAAACACATATATTTCAGCCAAGTTATGAGTTAAAGCTTGATATATTGATTAGACATTTTTTTTTTTTTTAGCATTCGGCTTTTTAAATACCAATAACTTCCCAAGTCGAGTCGCGCGGATAAGACGATTTCAAAATTCTTTTTTTTTTTTTTTTTCTGCCACGTCTTCTCCCGCTGAAAATGACGCCACTGCGAATGACAATCGAAACTACGGCGTGACGTAGACGAAACAGAAAAAAAAAAAAATGGCCGGCCAATATTATTTTCGTTACTAACCAACAACAACCGTGTTATTATTATAGCCGTGTTATAGTATCCGCCCACCAAAATATACGATACGACGAATAACAAACGTGATTGCGAAACGGAAAACGGGTTATTTTTTGCACACGCTCGTTAACATTTCACGCCGCACAGCAGTAATAAAAGTTCCGAAACCGTTACGATGACTGGCCCGTTGACGAACACCGTGAACGCGGCTAGCGTCGGTTTCAGTTTCGCGGAACGTTACTGCGCCGTAATGCGTACGACACCGACGCCAGACGGCCTACGAAGACGGGACGGCCGTCGTGGCCAGGTCGTGGCTGGAGGTGAAAGAGGTTTTGTTGCGAACCATGTCCGCGCCCGAGTTAATCGTTAACTCGATTATTCCGATGCCCTGTGGCGAATCGCTTGACCGTGTGCTGGTCACCGTGACCGGCAAGTGGTTCACGCACGTTTTCGTCGCAGAGTACCGTCCGGAACGGCCGCTAACTGTGATATCATTGTATCGTCTTTAACATGACATATTTCCGGCCGACTCTGGAAACGACTTTCGCTACAGGTGACTGCCGTGCTGACACCGGCGCCGATCGCGAACCGACCGCCGGTTCAAAAGCGAAGAAACAATTGCGCTATGCGCCTAATATAGCCACTTATTACGAACCCCTTCCCGATACCGTTACCGATAACGCGCAACCCGATATCGGCACCGAAAAACCACTGTTCAGAATTTTAAAAAACATAATCCTCCACATACCTCCTCCTGAAATCCGAACATCCCACAAACCCTTCTCTCCGAATATATAATAATTTTTTGAACTCATAATTTTCATGCATAACACCGTATCTAGGCCATACACAAGTTGAAATATTTTACATTTTTTCACTAATAATGTTACCTATTTAGTGTATAATATTTATTTATATACAATACAATGTTTATTTCAAGGGGTGGATCGGAGAGGAGGGGTATTAACCCTCCCTCAGAAAAATGTATACTTCTTTCTGAAAATGCATGGAATTACTCTAGGGCGCAACTAGGGGGTGCTAGAGGGTCTTTACCACCCCCAAGTTTAAAATTAGTACCCTTATAAAAACTCAATCAGCTTTTCCATAGTAATGACTAAATATTTTATTTATGTATTTCATAATTAATGAGCAGAACAAAATATAGGTTTCTTACAGATACTCCATGTGTATACGAAAAATAATGTTAAAATGGTTATGATAAATTTGTGTGTACAAAATTATAAATGAAAGGTGTAGTTGACTATTGTAAGAGTCATGTACTGGGGATTGTGGAAGCATTGCTCCCATAAGTTTTTGATGTGTCCATAATTTTAGCATACCCAAAGTTAGTGGTCTAGTTGCGTCTATGGCATGGCTACGTAAACTACATGTGAGTTATGGGCCGATTATGAGTCATCTTGTTGACAATAAAATACAAAAAACAAGCGGGTATACTTCATACGCCGGGTGGAACACTGTTGTAGATGAGAAGTTGGGAAGATAGAAGGGAAATTTAATTTATACCTGTACGCAATGATTAATCTTGCTAATGAAAAATGATTCTGAGCGGAGTCCGGCACACATTTTTTGAAAGGCCGTAATATTTACGATTTAAAAATAGTAAATTTCGTACATTTTCCCGTTTTTCCTACTTTCCCCCCCGGTTTTTCTCATTAAAACCCTTGGAAAAGTTAAAAAATTACCTTCCAAAAGTACCATCTCAGTCAGATTCCCTTTCAAAAAAAGTTTTACACTTGAAAATCGGAGCAAATTTTCAGGTAGAAAAGTTGTTCACAGAAAAAAAATATAAACATCATTATAAAACCAATACATTCTTCGCTCCGAATCTAAAATATTATGTTATATAAATAACCGTATTTTAATATGAGATATAAAAAATAAAGTCATCATTGAGAGTATTTTCTTAATTTTTCTTCAGAATTAAAAATTCCTAGATTTTGTTCTGCCTTTGGCATATCCTTGGAAATTACTTAACGTAACTTACGGGAATAAAGGTTTAAAATAAACACTGATACAATATATGTTATTACATGTAAGTAGGTATCAATCATAACGATTTATTATTTAACTTTTGTAATACATTAATTTATAAAATACTAGCTGATCTGACAATGCTTTGCTATAATGCTATTGCTAGATAATAGTGTAAATAATAATAATAGTATTTTTCTTGTCCACGGCAACCAAATAATCATCTGTAACACCAAGGTAACCCACGAATAAGCCAACATAAATAAATAAATTTACATAAACAATT